AAAGGGAGCAAGACGAGGAGAAGGAGGACGAGGACGAGGAGGACGAGGACTAAGAGAGTGAGGAGGAGGAGGAGGAGGAGGAGGAGGAGGAGGAGGAGGAGGAGGAGGAGGAGGAGGAGGAGGAGTGAAGGAAGGAGAAGACAAGGAGGACGATAACTATGAGGGTTAACAGGAGGAGGAGGAGGAGGAGGGAGGAGGGAGGAGGAGGAGGAGGAGGAGGAGGAGGAGGAGGGAGGAGGATATGTGGAGGAGGAGGAGGAACAGGACGAGGGGGATCATGAGAACGAGGAGGAGGAGGAGGAGGAGGAGGAGGGAGGAGGAGGAGGAGGATATGAGGAGGAGGAGGAGGAGAGGAGAGGAGGAGGAGGAGGGAGGAGGAGGGAGGAGGAGGAGGAGGAGGAGGAGGAGGAGGAGGAGGAGGAGGGAAATTACGAGGACGAGGACGAAGGATATGGATGAGAACGAGAGGACGAGGAGGAGGAGGAGGAGGAGGAGGAGGAGGAGGAGGAGAAGGAGGAGAAACGGGAGGAAGAGGAGGATGAGGAGGATAAGGGCGAGAAGATCGACGAGGATTAGGATGAGGAGGGGGACGAGGACGAGGACGAGAAAGACGAGGAGGAGGGCGAGGACGAGACGGCGTCTTGCGTGCCTCGGGTGAGCTTGTTGGGCCTCTTGGGGGCCGCTGAGGGGGCCTCTTGGGCGCCTCTTGGGGCGCTCTTGAGGCTCTCTTGGGGGCCTCTTGGGAGCCCTGGAGGGCCTCTTGGGACCATCTTGAAGGCGGTCGGTCAAAAGAGTGGGGGTTCCCGATGTCTGCCCCCCCCCCCATGGGGGCCACGATCCTCGTGAGGGTTGACAAAATTGGCCCCCCCCACTGGCCGAAAAAGGTCCCTCTGACACATCGGTCCCCCTCCCAAAAGAAAACCCAGGGAGGGGAGGGGGAGGGTTCCCCGCCCCGACAGGAAGAGGGGTTGTGGAAGAAAAAAGCAATCACCCTTAGACCACCTGTCGCCCAAAGGGCTGGTGGGATTCCAGTGGCCAGTGCGACATTCCAAAGCTGGTGGGAGACTTGACGTACAAGGCCCATCTGTTTCCGGCGCTCCTGCTGCAAGCGTTGTCCGACGGCGATTCGATGCGTTTCCTGTCCTTCGGCGGGGCGGAGCGCTGCAGGGTCCAGGCTGGGCCAGCTGCGCTTCTCGGCGACATCTACGACCAGCTGGCGGCTGAGCATCGTGCGGGCAGGCTGGGCCCCGTGCTCGGGCGGGTCGACGCGGTCCTGCCCGGCGGCCGGCTGCTCAGCAGCGCCTCGGCCGAGGAGACGGTCGCTCAGGTGCTCGGCGTGCCCGGCGGCCCTCCCAGCTGAGCCAACGCCTCCGCGCGCAGCAACACAGGGCAGTCCCTCTTCGGTGGCAATAAGAAGGGATGATAAGCCGTCCTCGGGGGAGGAGCCTGATAGTGAAACTACTACGCTCGCAACGGCCACAACTCACAGCATAGTGGACAGTTTTTCGGGGTAGGTTCGCGAGCGTGAGACGTTCAACCAAATCTGTAGACTACGTCTCGGGCGAAGGCCCGCATACTTTGGATGTGCGGCGTTTCTTTCCTGTCTGCCAGACGAACAGCGCAGCAACACAGGGCAGCGCTTCCGCCGTGGCACCAAAGAAGGATGATACGGTCGGGAGGTATTGCTCAGCGTGTCGCGCCGCCAACCTTGCTCCAGCACACCTCGGCGCGACATGTTAACCACTTCCCAGTCCCCCCCCCCGCGGAGCGGAGCGACGCGCTATCCGCTCGCAGTGCATAGCGCGTCGTTGGGTCCGCCGCGACACGCCAAGCAACAGTTCCCGACCGCAAGCTTTCTTTCCGCACGCACAGGCGAAGCGCACACGCATACTCGCTCGCAGGTCCGAATGGGTTTGTTGGGTCGGCGCTGCGGGATTCCCCTCCCGACGCCCTTTGCGCCCGGCGCGCAGAGCGCGCCCCGGGGGGGGGCGGTGGAGGCGCCGTCAGGGTTGCGGGGAGTGGTTTTCGGCGCCGTCTCAAGAAATTTGCGAGGCATTCAGCCTCTGTGTTTGTCAGAGTGAGGGGGCTCAACGATCATGCATTGTCCCTGGGTGCGTGGCTGAAGTGGGGATCCGTGGTGAGGATTCTGCTTGTTGCCTTGTTGTTGTTGGTATTGGTGTTGGTGTTGTTGTTGTTGTTGGTGGTGGTGGTGGTGTTGTTGATGTATGTTGTTGGTTGTATGTTGGTTGTTTGTGGTTGTTTGTATGTTATTGTTGGTGTTGTTGTTGCTTGTTGTCGTCGCCCCCCCCCCGCGACGCACCCGCAACCCACCCCGCGACCCATCCGCGACCCACCCCGCGACCCAACTGGACCCACCCCCGACCCACCCCGCGACCCGCTCGCGACCCACCCGCGACCAACCCGCGACCCACCCGCGACCAACCCGCGACCCACCCGCGACCCGGCCTGCGACCCCCCCGCGACCCACTTGCGACCCTCCTGCGACCCACTTACATTGTTTTAACAAAAAATCGGCGCCTGCGGCGGGGTCGTTTTCATAGCTAGAAAAAGTTTGCGCCTGCGGCGGAATTCTTCAGAGCCTCGCAGACTGCCGACGTCCCCGCCGCCCCCACTCTGATCCGCAATGCGGGGTGCTACGTATTCTGTCCGTGCTCTTCGCCTTCTTGCACGCAGCGAGAGGACGGGGACCGGCCAGTCCGAGTCCGTCAGCAACTGGGCTCCTCCAGGGCCACTGGGAACCTGTGCTTCGGAGCTAGAAAATCCCGAAATGCATCCAAATGTGTGAACATCTGCGCAAAAGAGTTCTCCCCCCAGATTGCTGCAAATTGTGGCGGACCGCGCGCGCCACTTGCGCCGAAGCCAGATTGTGGCACTTCGACTCGACGAACTCGCCGCCATTGATTCATTACATACAGTGTTTGGTTCCGCGCGCCCTTTCGCTCTGACTCGTGTTGCCACCTTCTACACATGCGCAATCCGCAATACAGCTGGCAAGGCAGAGTTAGGGGGCCGAACGGTCTTCCACCATTCCTGGGTGCGTGGATGAAGTGGGATTTTGTTTATCTAAGACGCCTACGGCGAATCACCGCCGCCCCCTGCCTTTTTGGAAGCGCCTATGTGGCCGAACGTCTTGGGCCGTCTTGGAGGCCTCTTGGGGGCCTTGCGGCCGTCTTGGGCCATCTTGAGGCCATCTAAGGCCGTCTTGGGTGCATCTTGGGCCGTCTTGGAGGCATCTTGGGGCCACCTTAGCCGTCTTGGAGGCCATCTTGGCCGTGTTCTTGGAGGCCCTCGAGGGCGTCTTGGAGGCCCCTTGCGCCGTCTTGCGGCCCTCCTGGGGCCGTCTTGGGGGCCTCTTGGGCCGTCATGGGGCCATCTTGGAGGCCTCTTGGGCGATCTTCGAGCGACCCTGGGGCCTCTTGGGCCGTCTTGGGCCGTCCGAAAGCAAAAAAGGTGCAAATGCCAAAATCATTCAAAACCTAAAGAGAATCAATGATTTTGACCTCGTCGGGCCTTCCTGGAGGATCTCTTGGAGGCCTCTTGGGCCACCTTGGAGGCCTCTTGGGGGCCTTTTGGGCCCATCTAAGTTCGTCTTGGGAGCATCTTGGGCCGTTTTGGAGGCATCTTGGGGCCATCTTAGCTGTCTTGGAGGCCATCTTGGCCGTCTTGGAGGCATCTTGGAGGCCATCTTGGCCGTCTTGGAGGCCATCTTGGGCGTCTTGGAGGCCTCTTGGGCCGTCTTGGGGCCCTCTTGGGGCAGTCTTGGAGGCCTCTGGGGCCGTCACGGGGCCATCTTGGACGTCTCTTGGGCGATCTTGGGGCGATCTTGGGGGTCTCTTGGGCCGTCTGGGGCCGTCGGAAAGCCGAAAAGGTGCAAATGCCAAAATCCTTCAAAACCTAAGGACAATCAATGATGTTTGCCTCTTCGGGCCTTCCTGGAGGACCTCTTGGAGGCCTCTTGGGCCGTCTTGGAGGCCTCTTGGGGGCCTCTTGGACCGTGTTGGGCCACCTTCAGGTTATCTTAGGCCGTCTAGGGTACATCTTGGGCCGTCTTGGAGGCATCTTGGGGCCATCTGAGCCGTCTTGGAGGCCGTCTTGGCCGTCTTGGAGGCATCTTGGCCGTCTTGGAGGCCATCTTGGGGCCAGCTGGGGCAGGAAAACCGTTTGCAACCGGGTCTTCAGGGTGGCCGGCGGGACGCGCCGCAGCCCCAGGGGGAGTTCTTTTGGAACAAAAAAACAAAACCAAAAGCCATATAGTTCGGCACGCCAGGCACCCCGTTGATAAATCAAAAGGGGGCGGCGGATCCAGCTGCCTACGGCACGTCCCGCCACCGTGTTGGGGTTGTGGGTTATATGCCCAATAGATGTTCGTTGGGATCGCGGGAAATCCACCCAGCGCACGGGGCCACCACGAGGTGCCCACGAGGCGGCACGGGCGGCAACGTGGCGCAGCCTGGGAAGACCCGACCAGCGCATGTGGACCCCCTGAGGCGTGCACGAAGCGGCACTGGCGGCACGGTGGCGAAGCTTTGGCCAATCGTTCCGGGTACGTCAGGAACCTGAGTGAGAACCCCCTTGCAAGGACTGTCTGTGCAATAGAAGAAGTGAAGACAGGGAGAGGCAGAGAGAGAGAGATAGGGAGAGATGGAGGGAGATGGAGGGAGATAGTGGGAGAGATACCTAGAGAGGGATTGTATATACACATGTACACATGCATATATGTATGGAGAGAGAGGCTAGACAGAAGACGATCTATAGAAGGACATGGCCAGAGATGGAGAGAGATAATGATTCAGTAATCGATGTCATGGTTTATATGTTATACACATTCACGCACATGTACATCTACATTCTCTTATGCCTAACAGACATTTGTAGTGATTTGTACAAGCATATATACACACCGAGAGAGAGAGAGAGAGAGAAAGAGAGAGCGGGATAGGCGTCGGAAAACAGTCGAACACGTTACGATGTCTGCGGAGGACATCATAGAGATGTTCGAGGGCCTCGACGTGGACCGGTCCGGCGAGATCGAGGAGGCAGAGCTCGAGGCCCCACGAAGCATTAACCAGCCAGGATGAGGACCGAGGAAGGGGTCGGGCTTCCAGGGAGCCCGCAATGAAGGAACACGACGCCGAAGGTGAGGGAAGGGAGGAAGACGGCCTTGGTGTGGAGCACTCCGGCGGTGACTAGGTCGAGGAGGAGGAGGATGAGGAGGAGGAGGAGGAGGAGGGCTTTCACGGGGGCCTCTGGAGGCCTCCGAAGTCTTCGCATGACCTCCAGAAATTGCTGGACACATCTTGACGCACGGGCGGTAGGTGGCATGTGCATTTGCAGGAGCCTCTGTGGAGAGCCTGGGGAGGGCGGATTCTTGAGCCCTGTCCCACGTGACCAGATCACCTCAGGATCCAATGGCTTTCAAAATCGCGACTCGCCGCGGCGCACCTCAGCCAGGGCAAGGCACTGCTGGTTCTAGAGCTATGGCAGCCTTTCGCAGCAGGCGCAGGCCAGAGTGCGCCTGGCTCAGGCGTGCCAGCTAGCCTCCAGGGTGTTCGGCCGCTGGATGGTCCCGAAGGCGAAGCCAGACACCACTTGCGCTTGGTACGACCAACAACCCGTTGGCTGAAGTACGCACGGGAGGAGGAGGGTGGATGGGATTCCGAGCTTTCATTATTTGATGGTGACATGCGTAGATACTCAATATACCTCGGAGCCCGCTGAGGCGAGCGGTTCTCGCTTGTTCTTTGGCCCTGGTGCGGAAAAGACGTGATTGCCCCCGCTTCTTGAGTTCGGTTCTCGATCGCGTCGCTTTGATGCAGATGCGCGGTTGCGGTTGCGGTCAGATATTGTAGTGGCCTCCGGCCAGTGCCGCCGATCCCGGGCGCTCCGGGTGCCTGTGGAAATGAACGACGACGAGGAAGACGAAAACGACGACGAAAACGAATACGTCGACGACGACGACGACGAGAGCGACGACGACAACGACCACGACGACGACGACGACGACGGCGATGACGACGACGACGACGCGACGACGACGACGACGACGACGACGATGACGCGAGCGACGACGACGACGACGACGACGACGACGACGACGACGACGACGACGACGACGACGACGACGACGACGACGACGACGACGACGACGACGACGACGACGACGACGACGACGACGACGACGACGACGACGACGACGACGACGACGGGGGGGGAGCTGGGTTGCAGGGGGGGGGTCTGCTCTGCAGGGGGGGTCCGCTCGGCAGAGGGAGGGGCTGCAGGGGAGAGGGGGGGTCCGCTCTGCAGGGGGGGGGGGGCTGCAGGAGGGGGGGTCTGCTCTGCAGGGGGGGGGGGTGCAGGGGAGGGGGAGGGGGGTCCGTCCGCTCTGCAGGGGGCGGGGCTGCACGGGGGGGGGGGTCCGCTCTGCAGGGGGGGGGGGGGGGGGGGGCTGGGCTGCAGGGGGGGGGGGTCCGCTCTGCAGGGGGGGGGGGGTCGCTCTGCAGGGGGAGGGGGTGTAGGAGGGGGGTCTGCTCTGCAGGGGGGGGTGCAGGGGAGGGGGGGGGGGGTCCGCTCTGCAGGGGGGGTGTCAGTCTCGTTCGAAGTTCGATACTTTGAGAAGGTAGAGACAACCCTCTGTGAGTATGTGAGCCCAGGGAGCCCCAGTGAGAGCCCTGTGCAGCCCTGCCTAGGCCGCCTGTCCGCAGCCATTCTGGCGCGAAGCCAGACTAGGGCCAGTCTGGTGAGTTTCAAAAAACTCGGTCCGGAACTCAGGGGGACCGCACACGTACGCCTGGATTGTTTGGAATAAGATTGCTTCTCGCTGTCTCTCTCGTTTGACATCAATTGATTGGAGTTGGGAATATAGGAGCTCTACCGAGCTGTAACCCCGCCGTATATCAAGATATACATCATCAGATATTGTGAGGACATTTCGAAGCGGAAGGCTGAGATCCGTGGACAACACGCTCCGCTGACATTGGTAGCGAGACGAAGTGGCAGCCTACGTCGAGGTGAATAACTCGATCTCCTGTGACATCAAGAAGGATGGAGTCAGGACAGAGTGGAGTCAAGATTCCAGTGTGGAATGGCGAGGCTTCGACACTCGAGAGTTTCGAAGAGAAGGTGAAGCTGTGGGTCCTCGGCACCAAGAAGGAGGACAGAGTCTACCTGGGCCCTAGGCTGGTGCAAGCAATGGACGAGGACTCCCAGCAGTGGCACGAAGCCAAGAAGGTCTTGTTAGACGACTTAGTCTTGGAAGACGGTGCCGAGAGAGTCGTGAATGCGCTGCAGGGCGTTCGAGGTACCGTGGCGATGCAGGAGGCAGTGTCGAAGTGGAGAGAGTTCATGAGAGGCATCTACAGGAACCCTGGCGAGGGACCAAAGACGTGGGTCTCGAGGTTTGACATTCATCTCAGCAAGATCGGCAAGGCCCTCCACGCGGTGCGCAATGACATTCCAGCGACGGGCTTCATGCACGAGTTCATCCTAGGGCTGATCTTGCTAGTTGGTACAGGCCTGGATCCATCCGAGCAAGCGGCGGTGCTAGCGACATCTGGTCCTAAAGGCAACTCGTACATGCACCAGGACGTGAAGAAGGCGCTGGCAGAGCAATGGTCCGAAGAGCAGTTGGCTGCCAGAGATAAGCAGAAAGGGTACACGTCCAGAAAGGAGTGCACGCAATCTTCGAGGACCCGGAGCAGATAGACGAGCTGACTGCATACGCGGAGGAGATCTACGATGAGGCTTACCAGGACGGCTTCGGAGAGGCCACCGACCTGACGGAGACGGCGATGGCAGCCGCCGAGGAGCTCGTGACGGCGACGATCGGTGAAACCCCGATCGCAGAGGAGAATCCGGGACAAGACGAAAGTCTAGCGGCGGCTGTACTTCCCGGAGAAGAGCGAGCTGACGAGTGGACGGAAACGGCGTTCGCCGCCTCTCGCACGTTCCTGGAGGCTCGGAAGCTCATCAACGAGGTGAAGAACGCGAGAGGCTACTTCCCAGTGGTCGGACTGGGGGCGCATGATGCCATGCCTACCTAGCCAGGTCCAGGATCCGGACGAGGTCGTGCAGCGAGCTGAGGTGGACCACCCTCGAAAGGCAAGGGCAAGGGCAAGAACAAAGGCAAAGGCCGCGGCACGCCATCAACTACGAGGCAGAGCACATCATCAGGTACAGCGCCGAGGAAGGTGGACAAGGATACGTGTCTGTTGTGTGGAGAACAGGGTCATCGGGCTCGAGATTGTCCAAATCGGGGCAATGGTGGAACGACGGCTGATCGGAGAAGGGCGTTCAACAGCTTCGTGGGTGCTCTGGGGCACATCATGGAGTTTGACAACTTCGTGGGCACGTGCGCCGAGGAGCAGATCCTGGCGAAGGATGACGGCAACTCCGAGGACGGCACGTTCATCGGCTTCAGCCTTGACGAGTGCAAGGGCTACGCACTTCTGGGCGGCGGGGCGTCCAGGTCCGTGGGCGGTGTTGAGCAGCTGGAGTACCTGAACGAGCACTTGCAGCGCCCGATGGAGGCGACCACGGGGGCGGGCCTGGGCTTCTCGTTCGCTGGTGGCGACCGGGCTGACGCCCCCTCGAAGGTCTCGTTTCAGGTCCACAACCTCGACAACCAGACAGTCGAGATCTACGTGCTAGACCGCCCGTCCCCCATCTTACTGGGAGTCGACATGCTGTAGAAGTTTGGACTAGTGATCGACTATGAGCGGAACGCGGTGCACTCCCGGAGGCTCAAGAAGGAGATTCCCACAAGGGTGCTGGCGTCTAGTCACCTTGCCTTGGACTTGACGGTGCTGAGCGACACTGGCTCGGCCTCGTGTTGCGAATAGGGACAGTGCCCTGGTCGCGACACGACGACTGTGGAAAAGACGTCATCCATCGTTGTCGCTACCAGGGGCCCAAAGGGCGCTGAAGACCTTCCCAGAGAACTCCAACAGCTACTCGAAATAAGCATCCGAATAAGATCAAAGTTACCGAACTTGAGCACCCAGATGATGAAACCGATTCTAGAACACCTCCTGAAGTACGCGAACTGGGCCGAGGGGGACAAGGTTAAGAAGGACACTTGGATTGGAACTCCAGAGGCCCTATGTAGAGTTCATCGTCGGGTTCTTTTTCAAAGATGTGATCCGCGTGACTTCGACGATCGGGACATCTCGGCACTTCACGGGGAACGGATCACATATATGATGAGAGAAAGGGGCGAAGGAGTCACAGTTCGAGATAGTTTCATAGATCACAAACACGCTCGTCAAGTCGAACAGTTTCGGTGGATTTGAATCTCAGCATTTCCCAGAACTGTTCTGGCTCAGAGTAGCTACTCTCAGCCGGACAACCCGAATCTCTTCATCGGGGCAGTCAATGGTCAGATTATGCGCGCATCGGAACCAGACGCGTCAGGGAGCGAACGCACACGCGGAACAGACCAAGTGCAGGGGCTGCGGAGAGATCCTGTTCAAGGACATCTTCGCGAAGGAGCAGGACGAGCAGCTCAGCTTCTGCACCAAGTCGCGCGAGCACTTCCAGCGGTTGGAGGCGACGGGGCACGCTCAACCACGAGTTCGTCCCTCCTGCAACCCGGACATGAACTACACGGACAGCACCTCAGAGAGCGAGCCGACTACTTTGCGAAGTACCCCACAGCCTACGTCAAGCCGCCTGCTGCCGAGCAGACTGTCGTCGGAGGTCATCAAGGCGCTCTCGGATGCAGAGGCGCAGACAGTCGTCGAGGAGGGTCTCATTCAGACTTCAGCCTCGTCAAAACCGGACGTCAAGATCAAGGTGGAGGAGATGATCAATCCGCCAAGGGCAACGAAGCAGCAGGGCGTCCCAGAACCGATGGTCAGCAAGAGTGCTTTCGGAATTCCAGTGCCCGAGCATCTCCCAACTTCCTCAGGCATGCCGAGGCCAGCAGGAGACCTCCACCTCGTTTGAAGAACTCGATGGTCAACGCGCATCTGATCGCGGCCACTGCGTTGGGAGCTATACCTGGTGAAGCATGGGAAGCTGCAGAACGATATGGACGCCTGGATCTGGCGGA